TAGTAGGGGTTGTCTTCTTGGGTTCTGTATTATAAGAGGGTCAAATTGCAAAATCTGTCCTCCATGGAGTCACTAGCATGTGGAAGATGGCGAGATGATTAAAAAATCAAAACAGCAAAGGGAGCATTCATTTGGTGAGCTCATGTGAACTCTCTGATGGCTTGGAACGGTGCCTGGTACAAAGCAGATTCAATACATATTTACTTTGATAGAATGAATGGGATGTGCCTGAAAGTCTACCCCTGCCACTTCTCTGAATTAACATGTTGCTCAGTTATTTGGGAGCTTAGTAGATTATAATATACTGACCCACTTAGATTTTCAAATCTTATCAAGGAATTCATTTTGCATATTCTTTACCACCAGAAGAGGGCAGGCTTAGAGGGAAGAGTAGGTAAGAGACTGCAATCAGTCATACATGTAGGACCCTACCTGATTTGGAGACTCAAAGCCACCAGGTGGCAGTATGAGCATGCCGGAAACCCAAGGTCAGGGATCCAGATTATAGGAGGGTCTCTGAATGCAGGTCAGTGCCCCAAACATACACATTTCCCTATTTTTTTCTCTTAAATTACAGTCAGTTACAATGTGTCAATTTCTGGTGTACAGCACAATGTCCTGGTCGTGCATTTATATACATATATTTGTTTTCATATACTTTTTCATTAAAGGTTATTACAAGATACTGAACATAGTTACCTGTGCCCTATTTTTTTTTTTCTTTTGGTCATGGTGGTTTTCCTTTCCACCTTCTCTTACGGAAAACTCAGAACCCTTTTGTACTCATTTTGAATGTCTTCCCTTCATTAAGCTTTGTTTTTTGTTTTGGTGTAATCCTCTTCCTTACCTCTGTCATCTCAACTGGTCACTGATGTCCTACGCCCGAGATGAGTGTTTTTCTTTCTTATACTTGGTGGCTGGCCTGCATCCTTACATTTTGCTAAAAATTATTTCAAATCCTTTGTCACAGAGGTAAGGTGAAAATTTATGCAGTGAATATGGGGAGGTGAGTAGCTTTGTGGATACGAGTATGAATTTGGAGGTCAGACACACATGGCTATGTATCTTTGCTTTACACCTTACTGGCTGTGAGATCTTGGGCATGTTACTTCTCTGAACCTCAATTTTCTCATCTCTTAAATGGGAATAATAGCTACATGATACAGTTATAAAAAATAAACAGAGACAATGTATGTAAGGTACATCACAGTAAGTGCTTGATAAATCATTACTGTGTAGTAGAGCAAATTCCCTAAATTACCTAATCAAAATCTAAAAAGATAAAACAGCCCAGAACAACAGGCCAAATCTATAAGGTGAAATTTGTAAGCTTAAATTTGACACTAATTTGTGAATCCCAACTCTCCTTTTTATTATCTGTGACCTAGGACAAGTTACTCAAACTTTTAAAGCCTTAGTTTCCTCATATAGTGGTATTTTAAAATAAGATTCTTCCTGTCCCCTTAGTGAGTTTACATGAGTCTCCTCAAAATGACTTTAAATGAGTCCCCCCAAAATGTTACTAGTTATCCCAAATTCCAAAGTGGTGGGTAAGAAGACCAAATCAGAAGTTGAGGAGGCGGTTGAGCAGATTCCCCAACCTGAACTGACCACACCCCATCCCCAGGGGAAGGCTGGGGGTTAGAAGAGGATGTTTGGAGAGAACTGTCACTGTCAGTATCCTGTGAGGTCTTAACCACCGAAGTGAGGTCCCTCTCATGCTTTGCATTTAGTTTCATGTGTCTTTATTCTCCTTTTGTCTGGCAAGTTCTTCAGCAATTTTTGCTTCTCATGACCTTGACACTTTTAAGGTTATAGGCCATTTATTTTGCAGACCATCACTTAATTTGAGTTTATTGAATATTTCCTTGTGATTAGATTGAAAATTTGCATGCTTAGCAGGAATACTTCACAAGTGATGCTGTGCTCTTCTTAGTACATTACATCAAGAGGCACGTGGTGTCAGTTTGTCCCATCATTGTTCACGTTAAGTTTGATTGCTGGATGAGGTGGTGTCTGCCAGATTTCTCCACCAGAAAGTAACAATTTTCCCATTTGTAATGAATAACTATTTTGAAAGGAGATATTTCGAGACCCCCTAAATCTCCTTGTCCTCATCAAACTTTCACCAACTATGTTTAACATCCACTGATGATTATTGCCTGAATCAGTTAGTGTTGGATGATTGCAAAGTGAGAAGTTGGAAGTCAGCCTATTACATGGGACTGGATATTTTAATTACTGAACTAAGACTTCCAGAAGCCTAAGAAGCAGACTTTTTATTTTCTAAGCGTGACTGCAAAAGTCACACGACTTGCCTTAGATTTCATCCCAACAGAACTGGTTTGAATGGAAAGTGGAGAAAAGAAAGACAGTAGTTTTTCCAGTTATAACTGATAAGTCCCATCTGATTAGTGTATCAGCCATAATCAGATCTAATATGACATAATAATAATGCCTACTTCTTAGATTGTTGAGGAAAGTGTGGTAGTGCAAGTAAAATGCTAAGCACCTCTTGGTGTGCACACTCCTTTGCATTGTGACTTGTTGCTCCTCCTAGCAAGAAGTGAAGTCTGTTTACCTACCTCCTTCAGTCTGAGCTGGCTTGTTTGTGGTTTTAGCCAAGAGAATGTGGGAGAGCTGTCATTGTGGGAGATCTGAGCCTGGGTTTTAAGAAGTCTTGCAGCTTCTGCTCTTGCTTTTTTGCTGTCCTGATGCTATTGGTAAAATAGTTTCGACTCCTTGGGGACAAGAGACCCTGTGGGGAGACCTGGAGCTCACAACCAGGACAACCACTAGACACAGGAGTGAGGCTGTCTTAGACGACCCAGTGACAGTCGAGCTGCCAGATGATTACAGTTGCGTAAGTGATTCCAAGTAAAAGAAGAACCACAGCAGAAGAACCACACAGCTGTGCCGAGCTCAAGTTGTTGATCCTCAGAATTGATGGACCTCTGAAAAGAGAAGATGTGGCCAAGTGGGGGTGGGTGGGGAGTTGAAGGGAATGGTGTTGAGTTGGGGGCTCAAGGTGGAAAGAGGAATGATTATGTTTGAGGGTCTTGTCCCAAAGGATAGGACTTAGGCCGAGAGGTGGATGTCATAGGAAGTAAGATTAAAAAAAAAAATAAATATATATATATATATATATATATATGTAGAAGAAATTTAAGCAGAATTTCCCTAAAATGAGATAAACTTCCTTTGAAAGTTGTGAGTTTACTGTCACGGGAGGAATTTTTTAAAAAGGCTGGATGACCGTTACGTGTGAGGGTGATGTATATGAGATGGATTTAGGTCACACATGATTCCCTTCCACTCTTAAAGTTCTTGGATTCAGAGAGAACTCCTCTACACATCAGTTTGGCCTGGCAGTTCTGAAAATACTTTCCTTTTAGTATTCACTATAGTAACAATTTTAACAGTTTTCTACAAGTTTACAGCAACAAAGATGATTCATTGCAAACATCTGTCAAAGCTATTGCTTTTTGTCCTTTGCTTTATAAAATGGCAGAGTTTAAGCTCCTGAACAAACTGCTCTCTTCTTCTGAGTCCCTTAGAATTTTATAAATTCTAATAATTAAAAAAATTCAAAGACTCATTTTTTCACACATTAACATCTCTGAAATCAGGATGTGTCTGCATTCACCAGCAGCCAGGTGGCAGTTGGGACATAGATATAATTATCAGTAATTATGGTCATAGCTGTTCAAATTGTCATGACTTCAAATAAATTAAATACATTATTGGTACCATGCATGTTGGATGTAACTGATGTTCAGAGTGACTTACAGAATGGATGCCAGTAATTTGGTAGAGAATCCCAGAGACAATTGGAAGCACTCTTTTAAGCAATGCTGCATCACCAATATTCTTGGTGGCATGGAACTTGAGATTGTATAGAAAAAACCCAAGCATTGTGTCAGAGTTTAATTGGAAGCAATTTTCTCCCATTGTAATTGAAAAAATGAGGATGAATTTTATAACTGATGGCATCAATTGATACTGATGAACTACAATGGCTATTAACTCAGCTAACTTGTACTGCACTTACTATGTGTTGGCCAGCATATTATGAAGGGTTTTACATGGATTATCTCGGTTTTATCTTCACTGGAACTCTACAAGATAGGTATGTTTATTATCCACATTTTTACAAATGAAGAAACTGAGGCCCAGAGAAACTAACATTCCCCGGGTTTTGCCCTTGGTAAGGGATGGAGGCAGGATTCAAACTCAGGCAGTTCGGTTTTAGAGCAAGAGTTTTTAAGTACTACATAGAACTGTTTCCCATTAGCAATAACAGTTTTTTTGGCCCATAGCATATACTATCTTCTTTTGAAATTTCTTCTTTATATGTTTTGTCTCCCCATCTAGGCCTTAAGGATCATTAGGTCAAGAATCTTTTCTTTCCCCCTCACATCTGGGTCTTTTACATCCTATCACTGTGCCTAGTTAATGGTTATTAAATGTCCTGGGATTGAATAGAAATTGACACTCTGTGTTCTGACTTGGTCTTCGGTGATAGCCTTCCTCTGGGGGCTATGTCAGGGCTAATTTAGTTGCAAAAGACAGAAACTATAGTGGAATTGTGTCCTTTTTTTTGATAATGCCGTATCCAAGGCCTTCCACCTGAAGAATCTCTCATTAGATGGCAGCTTTTGGGGAGTCTGTGCTGTGCTCCCTTCCTTGACTGCTCCAAAAGAGAGTTCCTTCCTCTCCTACACTTTGTAGCTGGAGCACTGGCAGGTGGCCTTAGGCGTGACCTGCAGCTTCTTTAAGTTTGGAGCAAATGATGCAAAGGTAAGAAATCATTAAGATTCATTAAATGTACCTGCAGAGGCTAGCAGTGTTGCATAGCAGTGGTAGAGGTGTTCTGGCCAGCCTATCCTTGTTGAAAGACAATTTTTGGGCCACTCCAACGACACCTCAGTTTCTATCCATTTTCTCAGTTTGGTTCTATAGCCTCTTCTTTATTCATTGAGCTCCATTTTTTTTTTAAGATAATTAGTTCCTGTTGCCTGTAATCGAGAAATTCTACTGACCCCTTCAATCAAGACGACTTCAGGCAAGACAAATTTATTACAGGGATACAGAAGTGTCTCATGAAACTCATTTCAGATAGGCCTTCCCTGACTACCCTGTATACAATAGTTCCTGCCCCCTCATCCTCTTATCTTGCTTTACTTTTCCTCATTGCATTTATCATATCTAGACATAGCACCCATTTGTTTATTGACGTCACTGGACTGTCTCTCCACAAGAGCAGGGACTTTGATGGCTCGCTGCTATTTCCCCAGTATGGCACATTACTGAATGGATACTTAAATACACGAATACAAGATGCTCATAAGGGACTGGGATTGAAAATTAGAAAACCGTCAGGGCCTGGGCAGTTTCTCTCCCAGGGGTCAGTCTCTAGGGCTATATGTTTGTGCATATCTTCCTTTCTCTTCCCATCTGCTTTTTTGCTTCTCTCTACAGGCTAAAATGGAAGGAGGGAGGGATACAGAGAAACAAGATGCCTAAACCAGAGGTTTCTAAACCCAATGGCTCATTAGAATCGTCATTTTAAAAACATTGATTCCTGGGTCTCATGAAAGACCCCCTGTATCAAAATTTCCACAGTGGGGCTCTGAGATCTATCGTTTTAAAATCCATGTTTAGCCAGCCAGTCACTGAATTGTAGATGGGTCTCTGAGAACCTCTGTTTTAAACAAATCAAGCTTTCCCCAAAATGTTGTTTAGAGTTGACATCTTCAACAAATGTTCGCTGAGAACACGTAATATTAGCCAGGCATAGGTGTAGGTGCTAAGAGACTAGGGAAGAAAACTAAAGTCTTTGACATTGTTGTGGTTGATCCCATACACAGGAAAAGGGAGGGAAATGCATTCTTTTTTTTTTAATTGAAGTATAGTCAGTTTATAATATCATGCTAGTTTTCGGTGTACAGCATAGTGATTCAGTTATACACACATGTACTCCTTTTCATGTTCTTTTTCATTACAGGCTATTACAAGGTATTGAATATAGTTCCCTGTGCTATACAGTAGAACCTTGTTGTTTCCTTCTTTTTTTTATTCATTTCGTTTCATTATCCAGAAAACAGGCTGGTAGGTACTATTATTATAAGGGTAGAGTCCTAGATGAGATATCATAAGATCTAATTTCTGAATTTTCTTTTTTTTGGGGGGGGTGCAATAGGAGGTAATTAGATTTATTTATTTATTTTTAATGGAGATAACTTGGGATTGAACCCAGGACCTCATGCATGCTAAGCATGTGTTCTACCACTTGAGCTATACCTTCCCCCCTTAAAAGATCTAACTTCTAATCTTGCCTCCGCCATCTACAGGGTATGTCTTCTTGGGCTTGTCATGGCCTTAGTTTCCTCAGCTAAGAACTGAGATAGTATCTTCCCTGTGTACCTCTCAGAGAGTTACAACAATTAGATGATAATGCAAAAATGCTTTGAGAATTACACAAAAGTCATCACTACGTTTTCCCCACAGACCCTATAGTTCCCATACATTATTTAGAACACTTTGGTTATGTGTTCCCAACCATCACAGTGAGAACAATAGCATTCCAAAGTTAATGATGTCCTCTTGTGATTGAACTTCACTTCTCTACCACCTGGTTTGAGTTAAGTGCGTTATAAACATTATACACCTTGAGTTTCTATAACTTTCATTTCGTATGAAATTTCGTATCATTGGGTAATATCTTCATTGCTCTTTAATTACTTACCTTGTTAACTTGTTTTTTCAACCCCTGCTCATAAAATCATCAGTCACAGGCCTGTTTTGTGTTTGCCATGTGTTCTCCAAGGCACTGGGTACAAAGGTGGGCCATTGGGGCTCCAAAAATACCTGTCTATGGAAGGACTGAATAGATAAGGTTATTTGTATGATAACAGTGCGTGCCCTATTCTCATCAGCCATAGGAGCAGGGAGGCAGGGAAGGAGGAGAGACTGTGGTTAATGCCTGCATTAAAGTCTTTTTCTTCATTCCCTCCCTCTCACTTCTTGTGGAATCTCAGAGAGATGGCTGACAGGATGTGGGTGGGAATAGACGGATCTGACAGGGACTAGAGTTTCAAGGCTGCATCTATCTGTTCTATCTGTTCTGCTAAAGGATTGATCTGAGTAGTGTACAATGGGGAATGTAAGGGAGTGTATTGGAATGTGTGAATTTTATAGCACATGATAAAGTGGAACTTTACAACAGACAAAGCTCTTGGGATTGTAAGAATTAAAATACAATAATGGTGGGTAATACTTAGACCAAAATATGAATACAGTTCTGCACTATGTAACATCTTTTCTCTGAATTTGCAGTGTTGGACATCTTGATTGACAAGATCTCATAATCTATTTGAGAAAGAGTAAGTAGAGAGACACCTAAACATTTTTAAGGAATGGGTAAACTAAGACATAGCCAAAGCCTTGGAATTTATCAAACACAATTATTAAAAATTGAATCTATTTTTTCTAATTTAGGATATTTGGAGGCTTTAATTTCTAAATCTAACTCCTTACCTGGAAAAAATATATAGTAATGAGTATTAAATGCAATAACATTCATCATTTTATTTATTTTACATGGGATAATTATTCTGAATTTTATAACAATGAACAAAATATAGGTAATTTTTGTGGTGAACAAGTTAGCAAAAAAAGAAAAATACATATTTGCACCTTCTGTTTGGTTAAAATCCATCTCCCTAAGTGTGGATAATCCTCTGCTAGGAAATATAATGGTTATTATGATTGATAATTTGAATGTTCATCTTTGCCTTTTTGCAGTTTACATCTGGGAGTTTAAATGGGTAAGATCTGCTTTCTGTAAAGGAAGGCCTAAATTTGAACTGGGCAAGATATGATGAGCTCTTAGCATAAGGGCAGAGAGTTAAAATACTTGTCTTGGCTCAAACTCTATTACATTTTTGATTAGGAGCTTTTCCTATGGTTAGCAGGCTCCTTCCACATTCCCAAACCCCAAAGAAGAGAGGCAGGTCAGGGCCTTCCTTCCCTAGCCTGTCAGACCCCCCTGCCCCAGACCACACCCTTTGGACCGCCATGTGAAAAAATAGAACTGTCCACGAAGGGTCAGGTGCATCACAGAAACATATCACAATGTAGGAGGAACAAAGACACTGTTAACTTGAATGTGCCCCTCAAAGCCCAATGGAAGGCGCTGCCAGTTTTAGGCCTTTCCAATAATGGTGTCCTTCAGGGAGGCCTCCTAAATTTCTGACCCATTTGTCCCTCCTCCTGTTCTTCTCCCTATTTCAAACTCTCAAGGAAGAGCCACCATTTCCACACAGGTTTAGCCTAGAGTTCTTTTCATGGTCTCAGCAAATCTGAGCAATACTTCAGGCCTGAGTTGTGTCAGGCTCTACCTCATAAGAGTAGAACTAGGTACTCCAATTCCAATTCCTTCTCCCAGTTCAGTTTCTATCTCTTCCTGGGAGACAACACAATTCACCTCTGCGAAAGCTATTTTTCTTATTAGCATGAGTAGCCTTGTCTTTTAGGAATAAATTACCTTCTCCTCTATGACACTGCTGACAAGGCACATTCCTACCTGAGGCCCCATGCGAGTTGGCTATGGTTTTTCTTTGATTCCAGGAAGGAATGGCTTCAACTCTGATTAAATTTATTTGAGCAGCTGATTACATTCTTTTGACTCTAGGTCTCCCCTTGACAGATGAGAGGGAGGAGTTTGGCAATACATCCCTCTACATCTAAGAAAATGGTTTCTAAGTTGTAAAATGCTATAAAATATAATTATTTATAATAGTTTTTATAATGTCTTGAACCTTCCGAATTAATTTTCCCTTTGTCTACTAGGTTGTGGGATAGAATGGAGGTGATGAGAAATCTTGAAAATAATAGTAGATGAATCTCTTGGCCAGGGGAACCTCTATCAGAGTCAAACAGCATTTATTAAATATATACGGTGTGCAGAGATTTGTGTATGAGGCCAGCAGGAAGATTTATTTATTCATCATTTATTTTCCAAGTGCCTTCTACCAGTATCTGGAAACAGTGGATAGTAATGTGTTTACACTCTAATATAGGAGATTGGTTTAACATACATAAATATTAGATAACAAAATAGAATCTCACAGACAAGTACATGACCGTCTCCCCATCTTAAAACTTTGCATGGCTCCTTGAATTAAGTAAAAGTTTCTTAGTTTGGTATTTAAGGCTTCTAAGTTTTTGTTCCATTCTACCTTTTTGTTTGTTTTTGTCATATATCTCTACAGCAGCATTGTCCAAATGAATATGATGCAAGACACATATGCAATTTTATTTTTCTTTGTAGTCATCTTTGAAAAGTAAAAAGAAGCAAGTGGATTAATTTTAACAATGTATTTTATTTAACCAAATATATCCAAAATACTATCAGGTTAACATATAATCAATATTTTAAAGCTATCAGAGATACTTTATTTATTTTGTACTGAATTTTCAAAATTTGGTGTATGTGTTACAGCATGTCTCAATTCAGACTGACCATGCTGCAAGTTCTCAAAAGGCCACATATGGCTAGCAGCTACTGTACTAGACAGCTCCGGTAATCTGTAGCCAGGTTAGCCCATGTTTTGTATACATGACCTGTATTGCTTTGTCTCTTTTGTGCTTGGCTACCATGCAGACTTTTTCCACTCAAAACTTTTTTCTACATATAGCAGATACCACATTCTGCTGTGGATTTTTACATATCCCTCTCCCACCTACCTTAAGAGACTATCTCATGATTTTACTTACCTAAGTGTCTTTAATGTTTTGGTGTGGTCACCATAACAATCAACATTTCCTTAGGGCTTGCCATATGCCAAGCAGTATGCAATCTGCTTTATATACATTAACTCATATTCTCATCTTAATTCTCACAATGTCCTTATGACATAGTTACTCTTATTACTGTCATTGTACAGATGGGGAAGCTGGATCTTAGAGAGGTTACAGAGATTGCCCAAGGTTATGGAGCTGTAAGGCTCCATATGCAGTTTGACTCCAGACTTACAATCTTTTATTTTTAAATTGGGAAACATAACACATACGTGGAAAAATGTATAAACAATAAATATACTGTGTAACGAATTATTATAAAGCCCACAACAGTTTAACCACTACCCATATCAAGAAATAGATTTGTAGAATTACAGCCCATTGTTCCTTCCCAGTCTCAAATCCCTCCCCATAGGGTTCCTTCTGTCGTAGAGGGAGTCATTAGCCTCCTTTTTATGGTAACAATTTCTTTACTCTTTACTGTTTTAACACCTAAGTATGGATTCTTTATGTTTCTGAACTTTAAAAAAAAGGAATAATACAGTATATATTCTTTTGTGAGTGGTTTCTTTTTCTCAGCATTTTATTTTTAAGATTCAACTTTGCATATAGTTTGTTCATTTTTCTATTATATTCTATGATACAACTATATTCCATTTTGTTGTTGATAAAAGACATTGGTTGTTCACAGTTTTTAGCTATAACCACAGTACTGCTGTTGACATTCTTACACATGTATCCTGGTGCACAAGAGCCTTTCTTGGGATATATGCCTGGAAGTGACATGCTTGGTCATGTACAGGCCTGTGTTCGACTTTAGCAGATAAGGCCAAACGACTTTTCCAAACTGTTCTATGAATTTACTCTCCCGATAGTAAAGTGAAAATTCCTACTGCTCCACTACTAGTCAACACTTGGAATTGTCAGTCTTTTTCATTTTAGCCATTTGGGTGGGTGGTATAGTATTCTCTTGCTGCTGTGTGAACTTTCCTGTTCTCTTATGAGATTGACACTTTTTCACATGTTTACTGTTATTTGGATTTCTTCCCTAGTAATGTGCCTGTTCAAATCTTTTTCTTATGATTATAGTTCTTTATATA